TTGGGCCACTTCTGCCAATCTCACCAACCATTGGTGAGATGAGTCCAGGGGTCCCCATCCAGGGCAATGGCAGATGTCGACTCGATTGGGTTTACTGGTTGAGCAGCAAGTTGGGGTCTAGTAACTGTTTTTCTGCTTTTGAAACCGATCACCTGACCGATTGTTTTGAGTCTCCAACTCCAACAGTTCTTGTTCGGTGCTCGGGCGGTTGTCCTTCACGAGCACACGGTTCCTAGGCCTGAAAATTGGTTTCCCTCCCGTTGATGATTGGCGGTATAGCGTCATGGACAAGTTTCAACTGTTTGTTCATCATAACATCTATTGGGGATGGACCGTCCGGAGTGTGTGGGTTATGGGTTGCTCTATAATTCAGCAGTAGCGTATCCAGATTTTATGCCGTGATCCCTCTGTTCGGGGGCCAGCCGTCCCTAATAACGGAACATCACATCATTTGGACGGATGTGTCACGGACCAAACGAAGGCATGCCTTGATTGGTCAGAATGTCAGCCAATCCGGATCGATAATCTTTGACTCGACGCTTTTCGCCCCCTCATGGTGATTCTGGCACGACCTTGTAGAGCACTCTGTGATTACCCTATAAAACCAGTTGTAATAATTTTCCTTTGTCTCCATAAAGGGCTGTGTAGAGCTACAGTGCCTTTTGCTATACCATAGTGGGCGGAGCAGGAAGCCAAAGGACCGATACAGAGTTGCACTACCGTACATCAAGACATAACAAACCGCATGCACGCAGCACCCGGGGGTGCCCTCGAACAGACTCATTTGCCAAAGCATCCACTTGAGCACCTCCTACAACGTTATGCATATGTAATCACTGACGAGCTTGGACGGTGTACAAAAGTAAGAGCCAGACTGTGCCTCCTCCCTAGTGCCAAGCCAGTCTTCTGGCCAAAACGTCCAGTACCGTATGCAGCCTTGCCTATCGTTGACCAAGAACTGGGCTGACTTCAGAAGGCGGGCGTTATTCAACCGACCAACTACTCTGCTTGGACCGCACCTGTCGTGTTGGTAAAGAAAGCTAGCGGGACGATTCGGCTGTATGCAGATTTCTCCACCGGCCTCAACGCTGCGTTGGATACCCATCAATACGCTTCGCCTCTTCCAGACGATTTTTTCGCGAAACTGAATGGGGGTAAATGTTTTGCGAAGATTGACATGGCCAATGCGTACCTCCAGGTTGAAGTTGAGGAAGAATTCCAAGAACTTCTCAGAATCAACATGCATCAAGGTCTGTTCTAGTATGCTCGACTGTCATTTGGTGTCAAAATGGCGCCAGCCATATTTCTACACATTATGGATACGATGCTGAAGGATGCCCCCGGCATTGCCGCCTATTTTGACGATCTTATTGTCATGGGTTCCACCCCCCATGAACTGGCAGCGCCTTGAATACGTGCTTAGTCGTACTCAAGAATATGGCTTCAAAGTGCGCCGAGAGAAATGCACATTTTTTATGCGGTCGATAAAGTACCTGGGGTTCATCATTGATGAACATGGCTGCCGTCCAGACCCGGAGAACATCGAAGCGATCAAACGTATGCCAGCGGCCACGGACGTGACGTCCCTGAGGTCATTCCTCAGTCTCGTCAGCCACTAAAGCTCGTTTCTGCGTGCTGTGCATCGCCTCCGAGGCCCATTAAACCAGCTACTTATCAAAGACCACAAGTGGATATGGTCGAAAGAATACCAACGTGCCCATGGCTTTGTCAAATCAATTCTGAGTTCCGATTTGCTACTCACCCACTACGATCCATCTCTGGAAATCGTTGTGGCGCCGGATGCCTCGAACTACGGAATGAGCACAGTGATTTCACATATCTTTCCCGACAGAAACCAGAAGGCCATTGCATATGCGGCCAGATCCCTGACGTCCGCCCAGCGCAACTACAGCCATATAGAAAAGGAAGCTTTTGCGATCGTGTTTGCCGTCAGAAAGTTTCATAAAATGCTCTACGGCCATCAGTCACACTACCGACCGATCATAAGCCACTCCTTGCTGTGTTTGGCTCGAAAAAAGAAATCCCGGCATATACTGCCAACCGTCTCCAGCGATGGGCCACTCTGCTCCTGGGATATAACTCCAAAATCAAGTACCACTCCACTACTAGCCTCGGACAAGCCGACGCACTCTCGCGATTCATTGATTCTAGTAGAGCGTTCAGCTGTAGCACCCTTTCGGTGCCTAGCTGCCATGCCACCTGAAGGAAGCACGAGGGCTGGGATACTGCCAGGTTGCCCAAGCCTAGACAGGGGAAGTCGAGTGGCGGAGGTCGGATTCGAACCACGAACTTTCCGGTCAGTAAATTCGCGCTCTAACCACTTGGGCAATCTCGCCCCTTGGTTCTAGTAGGCCGGAACCGGAAGACACCGTAGTCGCAATGATTGCCCTGGAACCGGAGGTTAACCACGTAGTGTCAGAAGCGATTCGCATATTTCCAGTGACTGCCTATATGGTCCGCCAGGCTACCGACCAAGACCCTTTGTTGCAGCAAGTCATTAAGCACCACCGCAATCAGTGGCCGCGTACCTGCCCAAAGGACGAACTAAAACCTTCAACCGGCGTAACGCACTCTCACTGGCCGATTGTCGCATTTTGTTTTCAAAACGTGTTGTCATCCTAAAGAAGTTACAACTGGCTGTGCTGAACCAGTTTCATAAAGGACACTCGGGAACAAACAGGATGAGGGCCCTTGTTCGCAGTTACGTCTACTGGCCTTTGATGGACTCTAACGTCGAGGAAGTCTCAAAATCTTGCCTGCGGTGTGCTGAAGCATCCAAGTCACCTGTGAAAATCTACCTACGGTCGTGGCCGCAGCTGGTCGAACCCTGGTCTTGCCTTCACATCGATTATGCAGGTCCAGTGGGTGGTCAGCACTTTTTATTTGTGGCCGATACTTACAGCAACTGGCCGGAAATTTTCCCAGTGAACAGTCCCACAACTGCCACTACAGTCTTGGAACTCCGACGATTGTTCAGTCTCTTTGGAACACCAGAAACTATTGTACCAAACGACGGCAGTCAGTTCACGTCGTCGGCGTTTGCGAATTGTTGTCGAGAATATGGAAGAACACATGTCAGCTCGCAGCCGTTTCATCCACAGTCGAACGGCCAAGCAGGCGTTAATATAACTTGCGCACCTATGGTGGTTGTTTCGATGTGAACGCTAGCTTGGGAGGCTTAGACCGAGAACTAAGTTGAGAAAAATACCGTTACTATACTGTTTGAAGGACAGTGCAGCAAATGAGTTTGCTCCTTAACCACTAAGCTATCTCGAGCTGTATCTTCTTAGAATAATGACGTTACAACAGACTGAAATGCCCCGTTTTTTCATAGTCTCACTGGTCTAATTGCTGATTTGCGGAAACGCCGTGTCTTTGGATAGTGTCAGTGTGAAAATATTGAGCCAAACAGTCAGATAAATCTTTATGAGAAAGAACTTGTTGGCATTTTGAAATGAAGAACAAAGGGGGGTAAGTCGAACTGTGTGCCAAAGCACTTCGTTGATTGGCCGTAACATTGGTTCATGTTGGTTCCCCATGTTGCTACTAATCAGTCCGCCAACCGTCATTCTCCTGAACCCTCTTGTTAGCTGAGGTGTCACGTATGATCGGCAACGATCAACTGCTATACACGACTTGAGAACGAGTGCACAAATCCTCAGCCCGACCACTTCTAGTGCAGAAGATGACCGGCCTCCTGAAAAGAGTTTTTACTACCTCGACCAAATGCAATGTACAGCGAAAGCAATACGGTATATATATACATATATATGTAATATATATATATAACGTATATATATATATATATATTGGCTGGAGGATGATAAATGCGTTAGCACGTACAAGATGCAGTTAACTAGTTAGAGGCAAACATGGTTGGTTGGAAAATGCCCATAATGGCTAAAAATGATGTGAAATTCAAAATTCGAAATTCTAGAAACATAGCTTGGCAATAATTCAACAATTTATTGGTTTTAAATGATACTGATATCTCCAACATAAAGTGAAGTAGACTGCGTTTCCACGTGCACCATTAGCCGGAGTGCAGAATGCTATCAAACAGTCTGGCGCATGCGGCAGTTCACTTTCTGTATGCTTCATATGACCAATTGGAGGTCACTGCTCCCATACACTGTCACCTTTAATAAACCGTTCAGCTTTGGCACCCTTTCAGTGCCTAACTGCCATGCCACCAGGAAGAAGCACGAGGGCTGGGATACTGCCAGGTTGCCCAAGCCTAGACAGGGGAAGTCGAGAGGCACAGGTCAGGTTCGAACCACGGACTTTCTGTTCAGTAAAATTATTCCCTAACCACTGTGCCATAGCCTTTGGCTCACAGTTGCGATTGAAACGAATGTCTTGCACATACTCACTTTGATTTACGTGTTGGTTCTGAGGCACACCACAAGTCAACACCTTTTCCCAGTTTAGCTGACTGAGGTTTTCCTTATCCCACCTAATTTTGTTCCACAATGCAACAACATCCCGAGTCTTCAATCCTTGAATCCTTACTTGCTTAACACAACTGTGTTCGCTAACTATTTCAGTACAAAATCGGACGCTGCGTATCATTTTTTCGAGGACATGCAACCCAGGACTGGCCGAACTCCAGTACCCACAAAAAGTGAGTAGTAGCTCTCGATCACTCTGTGACTGTCTGTTTTCTCCAGGCTTGGGCTTCGAGGATTCTCGCACACGGTTTCAGATTGAGCTGGAATTTGTACAGTGTCTTGCCAACCCAAACTATCTCAATTGTAAGTCCTTCCTTGATCCACACCTTCACTCAACCACCAGTTCTTGCTCAACAGGGTTGTTTTGAGAAACCAGCCTTTATCAACTACTTGAACTATCTGCGTTATTGGAAGGAACCGGCCTACTCAAGGTATCTCATGTAAGTTGATTCTAGCCATTTTTCTCTTGTGTAGGATGTGGATCAGTGCCATGGGTGGGTTGAATCGAATGGACGTAGGCTTCTGATAGATTGTTGCGATGTAGTGTGGCTTTTGCTAGTAGATAGAC